GCCTAACAGGATTGCTCCTCCCTTGGGGGGTGGGGAGGCCAAAGACTCATTTGTTATTATTAAACCAAACATCCCTTGCGAAGAGTAAGTCCCTGTACATACATTTTAAAAATTAGCAAATGATGATCATTCTCAAACAAGACACAAAAAGAGATGTGTAAAACTCCCATTAAGCAGTGTTATTGCTGCTTGTTTATCTAGAAATTCCTCCACTGAAGCTGAGCTTATCTTCTTGTTGTTGTTTCTTATAGTAACTCACCTTGAAATTTGTTCTTTTAAAAATATTGTTTTTAAAAGAATTTCATAATGTTTTGATAGTTTTGGGTTTAAAAATTCTCTTTTCAGACAATTTGATAAGGTTTAAGAGGTTGTGTCAGGGATCGATGCTCAGTTCTGCAGGTGATTTAATGCTATTCAAGGTGCAGATCAGACGTTTAGCTTTTGTAGCTTCTGGCAATGAACGAGGAAGTACAGACCTGTGCTCAAGACAGGGTCAGGCAGTCAGCATTGTCTACAAACATCTTAACACTGCCTGTGCGCAGACGGTTGACTGCACATCCATGTGCAGTAGAAAGCGCTAATTAGACTCTTATCTCCCTTCTTAGACTCTTATCTCCCTTCTTTCTGTACGCCTTTCTTTGTGTCTTCTATGAGTAAAATTACATTGAGACGTTGCATGCTGGACATGTATCTAGGAAATCAAAGCCACACTTCATCCAGAATGAAACTGGCACCATGATCATGGAACAATGTAAGCACACATGACAATGCTGTATTGATGACCACTCTCATGACACCATTCTTTAAGTGAGATCTATCATAACACTTCTTTTTTTCAGTTTGCAATTTGTGTAAATTTGTGAAATCACTTCCAACTCTGTACAGCAGTGGTGCGAATCTTCCACTATTTACAGGATGACATATTCTTCTCTCTAACATAGTCACTAAAATATTGTTATGGGGCACTGTGGGATAAAATTTATATCATTGTCATTCTAAAAAGAGTCACACAGGCACTTTAATGGGATAGAGGGTGTCTCTGAGCAATTTCATTTCAAAGGAGTTAAGTTTTCACTAAAATACCCATGTTATTAACAAAACATTTAATTTTATATTAACGAACACTCCTTAAGCCAGTTGAAGGCAGAGCAGTGTGGCAGTATTTCTGAGAGAAAGCGGCAGGCTAAGTGCAGTCTGTGTCCAACCTTTATAATAGCGCCTTAATAACGTCACAAATAGACACAACTTCACAGTAACATTCCAATGGATTTCGCCTGCTCAATAAAGGCACAAGGAGCAGCAGAATGCCTTTATAATCTTAAGTGCTGATTTGAATGAACTTCTCCTTCCTTGGAGTAGAATTGCTATTCATTGCAAATGAAATTTTTTAATGTACCTCTTATAAGTACACGAATTTAGCACTTGCTTCACTGTCTGTATACTAAATGTGCAATTAAAACATTATTATTCCACAGTAACAGTTTTTTTTTTCATTTAAGCTAGAGAAAAGCTGCTATTAATTTGGTCATAACTGTATATGAACGTACTCAACCTATTTCAAAGCATGTTATACAATAAGGTATCACAAAACAAAAGGCACATATAAGGAATGTGCAGGTGTAAACAAGCTACCCAGACAGCTTTCAGGTATGGATGAGGCAGTACAAGACAAGGGCAAATGAATCCTTTTTCATAATATACTTATCTGTATTAAAATTAAGTGTATATTTTATTTTCATAGCAATAGATGTAGTATCTATAGCTCTTTAAAACAATGCATGTTCATACCACAGTTTAATTTTCCTTCCATAGAAGTCTGGACGAGTCTTGACATTTGTTTTAACATTTGGGCTATTACTGGCTGTCTATCCAATACTTCAGCAAGTAGAAAGAGGGCTACCAAATGATCTTGAACTATTTTCATTTAATCTTTTCACTACATTTGTGAATATTTTAACAGGCTTGGGTAATTAGGGAAAAGAGTCATTTAAGACAACCCAGAGCACTTCAGACAAACAAAGGTAACTAATGAGTCCTGTTTAGGTAAAATTGGGATGAGCTCTTGGAAGCAGAGGAATTAGGAGTCCCTGGAAGTGGTATATAGTCCTCTTCTCCTCCCAAGGAGAGTCAGGCATAGATGAGCTGAGCTGTGCCATGCTGGTACAGAGGCCAAAGCACTACACTGCTGCCTGCTGTTTTCAGAACTTTCAAATCTTGAATGTGTAGAGTCCTGAGCTGCTGCCTTTGTCACTTGGATTGAGTTCCTAATTCTTCTCTCAGCCCCAATTCCTAAAATCCTTCTTTTTTTAATTTTTTTAATTAATTGCACTTTATTCACTTTGCATCCCCCTGTGGTTCCTTCTGTCCTCCCTGTCCCAATCCCTCCCTTCCTCTACCCTCTGCATGCATGCCCCTCCCCAAGTCCACTGATAGGAGAGGTCTTCTTTTCCTTCCTTCTGATCCTAGTCAATTAGGTGTCATCAGGAGTGGCTGCACTGTCTTCTTCTGTGGCCTGGAAATGATGCTTCCCCCTCAGGGGGAGGTAATTAAAGAGCAGGCCAATCAGTTCATGTCAGAGACAGTCCCTGTTCCTATTACAATGGAACCCACTTGGATACTGAACTGCCATGGGCTATGTCTGTGCAGGGGTCTTAGGTTATCTCCAGGCATAGTCCTTGGTTGGAGTATCAGTCTCAGGAAAGACCCCTGTGCTCAGATTTTTTGGTTCTGTTGCTCTCCTTGTGGAGTTCCTGTCCTCTCCAGATCTTACTGTTTCCCACTTCTTTCATAAGATTCCCTAAAATCCTTCTTAAGAAGCATAACTTGCTAATAGGATTAAATCACCTTGACCACCCTGAACTTGGCAGTGGCATTGCTGCTCTGTGTTTTATCTTCTAAAAGGTGTGGTTATTATATTATACATGGACAGGACTAGTGAGTCCTTTTCACAGATGAAATGTCTGGGCTTCTTGAACTGTGCAATGAAGACCTGCACTGGAATGGAATCTTCTTCTGTTTCCTAAATCTTTTACTCTCTTGTGTGGCTCATGAAGCAGGTGTGTGTTGCTGCTGCCTCCTGTGAACTTCTCTCTTTCCAGGCAGAGAAAGCTCATCCTCAGTTTGACTTAGATATTAACTGATGAACCACTCCTCACTTTGTATTGGGGTATTTAACAAATGCCTTTAGTATTTTTCATAATTTGTGAGGAAAAGATGTCCTTTTACCTCTGGTCCCCCAAGTTATACACACTTTCAGGTATGTATAACTTCCAGGTGGAACTCAAACACAGAACAATAATAATGTTTAAATAATGTATAAAAGCAATCACAATAAAGATCAATATCTTAGGAACTTAAAAAAAAAAACAAAACACCTCAAGTCAGGAAAGTAATGCTGAGAGAATCTGAGTAGACTTTTTAAAGATAAGAATTGCATATTCCAGCCCTGGAAAGTTAAGATACCATGAGATTGTTCTAGCTCAGTTGGAACACGCTTCACCTGCCAAACTGGATATTACATTTGTTTTTTAGGATTCACCTCTCATTTATACATGATGATTTGAATGGATAGTTTTTACCCACTTTTTGCAGTAAAGTGTTAGCTTTAAATTTAAACCCAGTCAAGAACTATACTCCTCAACAACCTCAGCTTCACTGTGGTAAAGGCAAATGGAAGCGGCAGGAAAGTACAAATACTGTGCTTCAAAATGAGTCTGCAGTGAGTGGAACTCAGAAAGAAGGACTGGAATAGAATGCATCCTTCATAGTGGTTTGGAATTGCTAAGAACATTTTCTGTTACCATCCCAGTGGGCCTGAGTTACAAATGAAATCGATTTCAGTAACATTTTCTTGGGACACCTGTCCAATAAATAGCAGAAGAACACTTGGTGTGAGTTGGGGAAGGACAAAGTCAGAATATTTGGAGAACATTCTACAAGGAGGACATGCTCTATCACCTTCTTCTTCCATTCAGTTAGGTTTAATGACCATTCCATATGTGGAAGCACGTTTTAAAAATTCATTTCTGTGTATTGCAAACTTAAAATCCGTTCTTTGAAGAAAAGGACATCATAGGCAATGGAGTTTAACAAGCAGGATTGTTAACTATGTGTTAACTATGTGTTAACCACCAGCTCATACCACCACCCAGTTATTATTTTCTCTGGGCCTTCCTAATAATATAATTCAGTAGTCCCAAATTCCTAAAGTTGGTATACAACATATATATGAATATGTATGTTTGTATATGTATATAAACATATACATGTATATAAAAGAATGTCTGCATATGTATATATGTGTGTATATCTGTGTGTTTGTACATGTAGATAAACATATTTAGCACTTACACACACACACACACACATATATATATGAAGGAATGTGGACTGTGTGTGTGTGTGAGAGAGAGAGAGAGAGAGAGAGAGAGAGAGAGAGAGAAAGATCGTTGTTTAAGCTAGGGCACAACACAGTTTACAATGTGGGTTAATTCCAATATCTAAAAAACAGATTAGGTCAGAAATCTCTCTGGATTTGGTTTATGTAGATTAAGTGAAACCCTGTGGTCTCAGTGCTCTTCATGCAAATTTATAAATAATAGGCAGGTCAAACACTGACAGATGTTCAGGAGCATACTAGGATTTTATGCTTTGTTTCCATTTTTAAGGAAAGTGGCACTGCAGAGCCCCTGGTGGTGAGAGCATAAGGTTCACCAATGGCAGCATATTGGCTCATTCAACATGGGGGCTTTGTACAACATCCAACATGGGGGCTTAGGGAATGAGTTCAAATAATGATGCTTCTTCCCAGTTGCTGCTTTTTGTTAATTAAAAAAAAACAAACATTGCTTTCTTCATTAACCATGGAGTCAGTTCTTTGCCCTCCAATCTCTAAAACTACCAATTTTGTTGTCCCCCTTTGATATCGAGCACCTGGAAATCTAACAGTAACCACAAGAAACAGGAGGTCACAGTTTACCCTGTTAAGAGGGGGTACACACCTGCTGCTCTGTGAGAACTGAACGGAGACAGGTGCTCATTTCTGGAGTTGTTTTGAATCTTTACTTCTCAAGGAAACTTCTGCCCCTTCCTCAGAATCCGACCAACACTAGGATTCGCCATAACTACTGCTCCAGCGTGGAGCCAGAATAACTTTGAATGTGGAAAATCAAAAATTGTCATCAGGAACAGCGGAAACATTCTCTTTCTACTTCTCCATTCCAACGTGAAGAGTTTTATACGTTTGCCTAAGGAACAAACACATGTCAGGTACTCTACTGTTCAAGAGATTGTCACAGGGTTCAAAGCTGGGAGAAAAGAACATTCTAACAGCCATAAAGGGACAACAAGACAGTAATGCCCTTTGCTTCTAACAAAGCTCACAGTGGGAATAGTTCTATATTGCTCTTAGAGGGTTATAAATACTTAGTGTTTTCAGTTTCAGAGGAACACGCACAGTAAGTGGGGCTAACTTAAACAGCTTTTGTTAGCAATTTCAACAGGGATTGTAAGTTTTTCTTGTGAATAGTTTGCGAGACACTCTGCACAAACCAGAGAAAAAAAAGTTTCATTGAATTCAAGCAGGAAAGAACAAAGAATTCAACAGATAAGTATTTTAACAAAGAATCCTAGAAACATTATGTAGTAATACTCAATTGGAACCCTAAGATTTCATATTTGCAGTTGTAACCATTCATGGACTTATCTGAACATGCCTGCAATAATTTATAGCTTACTGATGCATAAATTTGAGTTATTTATACTTTGGAGCAGGTAAAAAGATCAAGCCTTGACCAAAGTTTAAGTTTTACCACCCATGGGCACTTGCTTCTCATGCCAACTTCAATTCATAAATCCTATGATCCCCATTAATACTTTGAATAATACCGATGGCATTTTCAGGAATGATTTATGATACTTTATAGATGTATGCTTTCAAATGTTTCTCTATGTATTCTTTCCCAAATAACTGCAATATATATATATATAGATAATTCACTTTGCATAATAATTGGGGAATAAAAATATGTATTATTTATTTATTATTCATAATAAATCATGTACAGGTGGAGCTATTCATTAACATAAAAAACACAGGGGTTTGATAGAATGAATGAATATATAACACTGTCTACAAGAATTTGAGAGGACAGCGGAGTTAAAATTCATTGTATAGAAAGGGCATAGTAGAGATTAAAGATAGTGTGAAACTTAAGAATGACTTTGAGGTTTTGAACAAGAAAAGCATTTCTTTTGCTACTATTGATAACTTTGGCCTCTCCTTATCAAAATAGAAAATGTGAGGTTAAGGCAATGTGTGGGATAGGGCTGAACTTCTATGTGCTGATCGTTCATGAAGAATGTGTGACTTCATGCAGACACACCAGGGCCAAGATGATCAGAGTATGGGGAATGCTGTTATGGATGGCAGAGGCCAAAGACTAAGGATGAAACTCAAGGAAATATAGGAAAGTTTCACACCTTTTAGAAAAATCCGGAAGCAGGAGATATGCACCACTCATGTCTTTCCAATGTCCCATCTCCTTTACATTGTTCAAAACCACGTTTTCTGAAATATTCTTTAATTCCCCATTAAGAATATAACTATTACCCATACCTGCTTGTCCCTTCCACTTCGACTTATTCTCCAACTCGGTCCCCAACTCCTTTCCCCACTAACACTATCATAATCAAGGCTTGAGTTCAATCTAGTTTGTAAAAGTGCTATAACTCCCTGATTTGTCTTGTGTCCAGTATCTCCTCCTTTTTTGCTACCATCACCTAAAAAGTAAGATCTATAATGGTGTCATATTGCAGACAGAAACCTGCATCTATGAAACATAAAATCCCTCAGTATTATATTAGTTCAAGCCATCAGTTTCATTTGCCCTTCTTTCCAAAGCCTCAACAGATAACAAATTTAATATTCTTCTAAATTGTTGTACACATTCAGGTCTCCTTATCTTCATGCATGTTTTGCACCTGTGCTTGATTTAAAGTTCCCCCAAAATGAGATAGCTTCATTATCCATATATTCAGAACTTTATCTATAGTTAAGGCATATTTCATTATATTAAGATGATCTACCACCTATGAGCTATTATAAAGCAATTATATCAACACATACTGTTTTTTTTTTTCATGACTAAGAAGTATTCCAGGCACTTAAATGATCCTTGACATTTGTCAAATGAAAGATTAAAACAATGGATGGATATGTATATGGATGAATGAATGAACAAATGAATGAATGGATACATAATATATGGTACACACACATGCATATATATATATATATATATATATATATATATATATATATATATATA